AAAAAATATAATGATCATAAATTGGATGTGATGTTTTGTTTTATTAGGTTAAAAATTTTATTTTTTGACTATTTTAGTAAAAAAGCCTGAGACTTTTTCTTTCCAAACAAGCACTTAATATTATGGACTGCAACGATTGTTGTACGGAAAAATGGGTCCATTTTGATAATCCAAACAGTTCACATTTTAAAATACATCAAGTAGAACATGCCTGCAAAAAATCAAATTAATCGGATATCTCTTACCTATTCATCTACTTATATTTGTATTTATTTTAATACTTTAAATCACAATTATTATTTATTTTTGTGGATATAAATGTGAGTGGATAAATAAATAAATAATATCCAATTAACTTAAATTTTTACAAATATATTTTACTTAATGTATTCTAAACTATAAATAATTTAAATTATCAAAATAAATTTCGAAATAAACTTATTTTTTTTTGTTACAGAAAAATCCTCCCATTCTCCCGTAGGTCCCAAAGGCAGAGCGCCCTTTGAGGAGACCACCAGAGTGTCCTGTTGTCCGTTCCGAATAAGAGACTATAACATGGAAGCTTGTCCCGACCTCCCAAGACAAGTTCTGCTTAAGTCAGAAGTCACATAGCGATGAAGTATTAAACCCACACCAAATTACTGATTACACATCTTGAAATAAACTTCTTAACTAACTGTACTACACTCAAAAAATTAACCTAAAGAGAAATCGAACCCAGGACCTAAGGGCTTAAACCCTAGGCCCATACCAGGTTGCCACCCACCCCTAATTTAAATAAGAATAATGTTTGAGGGTCACAATTTTTGTGGCTCAAATGGTTCAAAACTGCTAAAACCATATCGTTTTGACATGTTTTGTGCTCAAAACAATATCATTTTGATAATTTTAAACTATTTAAATCACAAAAATTGTGACCCTCTACCATTGCCCTTTAAATAAACCTATTTTACCACACGGTAATCCGCGTAGTAGCATCCACGTCTTAACATTATTCATGGAGATTTTTTAAGTGTGTGGGACCAATAAAGAGAGAGAAGGGAAGGCCACTTGCACTTTCACTTTACATAGAAGAGGAGGCTGAGGCTGAGGGAGGGAGAGAGTGAATGAGGAGTGTACGGCTGTGTCAGCAACCTTTTTGACAGAGAAAAGGAAAAAGTGAACCACGTGTTGGAATGTAGTGGCATAGGCACACGTGGCATGACGACGTTTTTGAGCATACAGCTCATCCTTCTGCAACTTGTGATGGCGACGTCTCTTTGGGGTTTTGCCTCCAACCTCTTTCGTCACCCCAACACTAAGAAATTCAAAAGATGTAATTGATGTTATAAATAAATGTGTTTTTTAATTTTTTATAAAAATATATGTAAAAAGATAGATAAAAGATATTAATTGATGTAATTAAAAAAAATAAAAAATGTAGACTTATTAATTTTCCTAAACCAGGCTCGACAGAAAATGAAAAAAATTATCTATATCAAGGGTGGTAAGTGACACTTATATCTGTATAAAATTTTATTTGTATCTTATTACAAATACACTTGCATTTAGAGTCACAAACAAATCGAGCCGAGCTGAATTTTGCTGAGTTCGAACTCAGCTTGTTTACTTATCGAGTTTGTTTATTAAGATTTCATTATAAATACACTTGCATTTAGGGTTACAAACGAATCGAGCCAAGTTGAGTTTTGCTGAACTCGAGCTCAGCTCGTTTACCTATTGAGCTCGAACTCAACTCAATAAAAAACTCTACTCGATAAAAAACTAGGCTCGAGTTCGACTCGACTCAATAATTTTTTTAATATTATTTATATTATTTAATATATAAATAATGTATTGATACTATTATTTATATATATATATTATTTAATTTATAAATAATATATTTATTATATAATTTAAATAAAGATAAATGAGCCAAGCTTGATGAGCCGAACTTATGCGAGTTTTGTTTATGAATAGTTCGATTCAATTGCAGCCCTACTTACATTCCAATTGTAGTGTTTGAGAAGTTAAATTTGAGTTTTTTTTTTACTAAAATTCACAAAAAGATAAAATAATCAATAAGACAAAATGTCACATCAAACTCATAATCATTTCATTTTTTTCACTCATAAATAGCACATCTAATTACAAAAAAATCTAACTCTCTTTCCAAGCACAAAATTTTTAACCTATTTTAGGGTTGGTTTGGGAAGCGAGTTGACTTTTTGACTTTTTTTTACTATTTTAGCCTAGGCTAAAAAACTTAGTTTAGGAAGCGTTTTTTGGCTTTTTGAATTTTTTTGTGAGAGAATAGTGCAATAATTAGAGTAATGATTCATCCCCCTTTTTTCCCACCCCCTTTGACCCCCTCTCTCTCTCATTGGTTACCTTTTCTTTTTCTTTTTCTTTTTTTCCTGCTCCTCCAATCACCCCCTGCCGCATGGCAAAGGGGGGTGAGGGGGTGACCCCCAAAAGGGGGTCCCAAGCATTATATTATGGGTTGGATGTGATGTTTTGTTTGTTGTGACTAAAATAGCCTATTTTGTCTTTTGTGACTATTTTAGCCACAAATCATCTTGCCAAACGATGCTTAAAATAGTCAAAAATTAAAATAACTTACTAAAATAGCCAACTTCTCAAACAAGGCCTATGTATTTGTAATTTTTTCCCTTCTCCCGTCTGCATATAGTTCTCTCAATTCAAAATAGGAATGCACACATTAATCACAACAATATTTTTTTTTTCCTTATAACAAATAATAAAAAGACATTATTAAATTTATATATTTTTTGTCAACCGATAAAATATAATATTATAATTATTGTGAGATTTACAACAACGTGACTTATGAATTCATAATCAACATAATTCTCTTAATCTAACAATAGGTACAAACAAGTAACTCAATTTATAATTAATAAGTTCAATATTATCAATTCAACTAATAAAATGAAATAACTAACTAAATAAATTTCATAATGAAAAATAAATTGTTAATTGATTTTATTCTTACTTTTACTTATTAACTAAGAATATAAAAATGAGGAAGAAAATATAATAAAATATTTTTAAAATTTTAAAATATAAAGAATTTGAAGTAAAAATACTATTATAATTTTATTAAGGATAAATAATATATAATCTTTTTATATAGGGATGGTAGTCTCATTATCAAAACTTCAAAGAGGCACATCACCCCCTTGTTTCTTAACTGGCTCCACCACTAGTGCACACTCACAAACGACCAATTTTTTTGTAGTTAAAATTATTATAAATAAGGACAGTCTTAAAATAATTGAACATATATTTATTAGATGTTAGATTATTAGTAAAATTATGTTACAATTAAAGGGATTGTTAGTATTTAATTAGCTTGAATTTTTTATTTTTATCTCAGTACAATTTAAGATGTGACTACAAGATGACTGACTTAAACCCAAAGTCTTATTAAAAGACTTACACCACTATAAAACTGAATCTACTTTTTCACTGTGCAAATAAAATGGGCCATTCTAGTCATTAAGAAACACCATAAAAAGTATAATCAAAATAATAATTATAATGAGTCATAATTAATAGTACAGCAAATCATAACAAAATACAACACGTGTCATAATTAAGGCGTACAATACATGTGTATTATAAAATTTCACTTTACAGGTAGAATATAAGAAAATTATTATATATGCCGTGTGTAATGTGTGCATACACGTAGGAGAATTCTACAATACAAACCTCCTACCATATGCACCTTTAATTATGTTATTTTTTTTCTTAATTATTCTATTTTTTTCTTTAGTTATAATCAATTTTTATGATATTATTTTGATATATTTAATTATATCTCATATAGTGTTTGATTATGATTTATTTTTTTATTTTTAATTATGACTTTTAATATAAAATTATATATATATTTTTAATTATAAAATATATATGATACATATCTTTTAAAAGATATGTACCTAGTCTTCCCATATAAGTATAGATGCCACACAATTATGTAAACCACATTGCTTTTTGTGTTTAACAATGACAAAATAAGTAAGAAATAAAATAATATATATCCTTTAAAAGGTATGTACCTAGTCTTCCCCATATAAGTAAATAGATGCCACGCACATTTATGTAAACCCCATTGCTTTTTGTGTTTAACAATGACAAAGTAAGTAAGAAATAAAATTGTAATATGTACTCAAAAAAATATATGTTCCACTAGGAAAGAGAATCTTTTGGGTCCATGATAGATTTACATCTATTGAAAGTGAGATTTTCCAACTGTTCTTTATTGATTTGAGATTGCTTGTTGAAAGAAAATGCAAAGAGATCAAATCTATAATTGCAATTACAAAAATGCCTCTCCTCCTCTACTCACCTCTTTCTTCCTTTCTCTTTCAAGAGGTACCCCCATCCCACCCCCCTACAATTAACAAAATGCTACTCAATTCATTAAAATCGTATTAATTCGCACCGCTCTATCCGTTAATTACAATTTAAACTTTAAAATTTATAATCTGCATTCAAAATCATTCTGTTCCGCTATAATTAATATATATATATATATATATATTTAACCTATAATAAAATATCAAAATAAAAATGAATGTAAAAAAAATTTAATATGACAAATGTATTACAAATTAATAGTTGTATATATAAAAAATATTATATAAAATTAATTTGTGTTATATATATAAAAAATATTATATTTAACCTACCTGCAACCACCACCAACCTCCTTCCCTACCTCAGCCCCCTCCACACCACCTAGCCATCCCCCAACCCCCTGTCCACACTGGCAAACTAAATTCACAAATCCATATACATGTATATATATACACATATATACATACAGAGTTCTCTGGATCTGAATTATAACAAATCAGCTATTTCAAAGTCATCAAACAGTGGATTGAAGTTGATAAGAGTAGGTGTCGGGGTAGAGTTGCATATTAGGTGGTGGTTCAGTGGTGGAATCAGAGAGAGAGAGGGAGAGAGAGAGAAGAAAACTAGGCTGTTGGGAAATTGTGTGCATACCAATATCTATCAGCCAGAGGAACAAAGTTATATCACAAACAGAACATAGACATATATCTACTGGAAAAAGAATCCTAGCACTCTCCAAGGCACGGGGAAAATGAGTTGGACCCCTCAAGGAGCCATCCCCTTTGACCCCCTCTTTTTTTGATTGGCCAGTTTTTTTTTTTGCTTTTTCTTTTTTTCCTTCTCCTCCAATCACTACCCGCCACGTGTGTGGGGGGTGGTGGGGGTAGTAATTGGAGGGGGTCTCAATCACTTCCCAAGGCACAAATATATAATCTCTAAAAAGTTGAGCTGTCAAACAATTATAGCCATCATAACTGGAAGTTATACACTGAAGCTTTTCTTGAGGAAACCTTAAAATCCATAACATACTCAACTGAGGGGTGGAATAGCCAAAATAGAAAATTAAACAAAGAGAAAATTCCATTAATTGCTAGTGTAGCTGACATTTTTCGATGTAGAGATAGTTTGTCCATCTTATATGGCCATAAGATCACCATATTTGCGCATCAAAATAATGGATCCAGCAAACAGCCCTGCAGCGCGGAGCAGTTTCTGCGGGGACGAAAACAACAGAAAGAGAAAGAAAAAGATGAATACAGAGCAACAAACAACACTGTAACAATTATTGTTTAAAGCTGCCTCATAAAACTGAAAAAATAAAATGAAGGGCAAATTACCAACACCCCCCTTGAGGATTGACTAAAATACGGATTCCCCTTGTGGTTTGAGAAATTACAAATTGCCCTCTGAGGATTATATTTGCATAACAAATGAGGAGGCAATTTGTTATGCAAATAAAAACCTCAGGGGACGGGATGTAATTTCTCAAACCTCAGGAGAGAATTCGTATTTTAGTTAAGCCTTGAGGGGGGTGTTGGTAATTTGCCTTAAAATGAAATAAAAGACAATTCTCAACGTACGCTGTACTTGCTTGCTAACATAACAAGCGCTTCTCATTAAACGAATGGTTGTTAGAGCATAGGGATGGCAATATCAACCCAGCCCGACGGCGACCCGGACCGCCCCGTCCCGATAAATAGATTTTTCCCTGAAAATTATTCCCCATAGGGCTGGGGCTGGTATTAAAAAACACATCCCCGACGATTTTCCGGCCGGGGAAGGGGATTAATTTCTCGGCCCCGGCCCCGGCCCCGAAATTTCCCCAAACTCGAAATTTCCCCAAAGCTTCCCCGCGTATATACCACTTATTAGTTGTATTATTATTATATATCTCTTTCATACATCTCTATTCTCTCACTCTCTGGCTCTCATCTCACCCTTTCACTCTCTCATTCGTCTCTTTCTCACTCTCTCAACTGTCTGTCTCTCGTTCTTCTCTCCCTCACTCTCTCTCAACTCTCGTTTCTTCTCTCTGTCAACTCTCGTTCTCAACTTAGCCCCGACTCTCATCTCAGCCCCGACACCACCACTATCGCTGGCCACGGCCACCGCCACCGCCACGGCCACAGAAGCTCTGTCTCTTTGTCACCTCTCTCTCTCTCTCTCTCTCTCTCTTTGTGATCTGATCTGTGTACTCAGATCTCTCTCTGGTATTGTTGTTGAAATTAGATTTTTTTTTTCAGATTAATTTTTTTTTAAAATTTAAATCTCTGTGTGATCTGATCTATGTACACATATTGATTTATTGATGATGATGAAAACATATTGTTGTTAAAAACAGATTTTTTTTTCACATTAATTTTTTTTTTTAATTTAAACCTGTGTCTAATCTGTGTACACATTGATTTGTTGTTCATGACAAAACATGGTGATTATATTGATTTGTTGTTGTGTTGAACAAAATTCAAAAAAAAGCTCGGGGATTTTTCGAGGTCGGGGAAACCCGATCCCCATTAGGGGATGGGGACGGGGACGGGGACGGGGAGTTGATGGGTTCCCCCGCCGGAGATCGGGGGCGGAGATGGGGATTTTTGAGCCTTCGGGGATCGGGGACGGAGAGTGTAGTCCCTGGCCCCACCCCGGCCCGTTGCCATTCCTATTAGAGCATTACCAAGTGACATATTTAACTAAAATGTTTCTTTTCAACAGGTAAGCTCTTCGTAATACTTCAGGGTCATGAACCAATGGGAATAGTAAGTATTAAAGAAATCTTAAGTAAATATTTTTAATTTCCTCTTCATTAAATTTTAGGATAATGAGAATGCTGAGCTAATCCTTTGACATCAAGTTTCGTGAGCTAACCCTTTCAACCCAAAGCCTAAGGAATACTTAGAAAGATTCTTCTTGTCCTCTTCTGACTTTCTCTTCCACATACAACCAAATTAATATCAACAGCTCTTCAAAAACCCCAAATTCAGCCACAAAACCCCATTGTATCATCCTATTCTCTCCACGACCCTCTAACTTCTCTTCTACCTTTTAGAACACTAAATCTAAATTTTTTTTTGACAAGTAGCTTTCACAATTCTAAATGAACAAATTGACCTTGATCTAATTGTATGTAAAAACATTATTCCAATTTCCAAATCATTGCCTAAATCAATTTGGTGAAAAAGCCAAAGATAATTTATCCCCTTAAGTTACAAGTTTCTTTATTCATCAATTTGGAAGGCACATCTATGTCTTCAAGCCTTGTATCCAGCCTGTCCTGCCCCGACTATTCGGGAATTGAACAACGGGTCGAATACTCTCATCAATATTAAAAGCCAGAGACCATGCTAAGCAAAACATTTCATAGTTGAATCTGTGAATTCCTAAACGTGTACAGAGTAGAAGGAGAAGTGATGGAGCCTGTGTTACATGGACTCTTCTATTTCCTCCACAATAACCCGTGTCCACCAGATATGACATGGGTAAGCGTGTGAGGTATGTGTCCGACACTCAAACCCAATTTAGACACTTAGATCCTTTAATTTGTGACAATACATGAAGAAGAAGAAACTCACATTTATTAGTAAAGCAATATTTTTAGCCTCTCAAATGAATTAGATATAAAAATTTCATATTTTTCATGAATCCTATTTAATTTCTAGTATATTTCTACATAATTTAAAACATCTCATCTGAAAATATTATATAATATGCGTATATATGTGTATATGACGTGTCCCCATACCCATATCCAATTTTAGATAGGTATCCAAAGATCCCAAAATTTAAATTTATGAAGGTTTTACGCTTGAATACACACCTGCACTGCACCCAATACTCTTACCCGAATCCATGCAACATAGGATGGAGCCACAAAAAAATTGCATGAAGAAGGCCCAAAGGTATGTATTTGTACATAAACATTGAGAGCAACAAGAACAAACTACATAATCTGGTCTGTTCCTACTCATTACAAAATCATGCATAAGAACCTACCCTTGAAACTGGATGAGTAAGAAGCTTCAACACAGCTAACCTAGATACATAATACAGCTTTGCATTCCACAGTAAAACCAATAAATTAACAACGATGATGCTATCATGAGTAACAAAAATTACGGTTAGATGGTTGGAGGGAGCATCCCCCACCATCACCGTACACATTTATTAACTTTCATGCTCCAATGACACAAGCAGTAGGGTCTTGCAAGCTATGAAGCGACAAAGTCTGGGCCATTCACAATTTTGTTACAGAAATTGTGATTTCCTTTCCTTATATTACAGTGAAAATTTCACCCTTTTAAAAAGTCAGTTTTGCAAAGTTAATAAGGAGCAAGCAGTCCCCAAGGTACAAAGCAAAATAGGAAAAGAAAAAGAGGAGGGTAGGGGGAAGAGGATATCCAACAACATCACCCAAATTCTTCTTTCATGTATCGTATTGATGACCTCTATAAATCTCATCATCATAACAAAATGCCCCATTGAAGGCTTTTCCAACTAAATCCTTCCTCAAAATCATATCCAAAAGAGATCAGAATAAAAGTAACCATATACAGAACTATACCAGGAGATGCGAAGTAACAGAACGTTTATTCCAAAAAGTTTAGATGAGATAAAATCTAAAAATATAAACCACAGTGGTTATTTTACTTTTGATAAAAACTTAATGAAAAAAGCATTATAATGTTCATCAGAAAGCTGACATATATACATAGCAGACAAATTTTAATAACAATGAACTACATTCATTGTTCAATGATTGACGAGATGCCAAATACTGAACTATTATTACACACAAATGGCAATGATTTTAGAATAAAAAAAAAAAGCAAAATGCAAGCACATATGACTACTTAAAGAAACAGTGCATGAAAGCATTGTAAATGATGCACTGTTAATTTACGCCCATAAATAACCCCTATTAGAAATACTCAATTTAAAGGGCTTCATGTACCATAGATCCAACCCAAACAAAACCAATATATATATATATATATTCATCTTTTAAGTTATTTTTTCTGAAGTTATTCTAAAATTCACCCTTTTAACTTAAAAAATACCAGGCAGGACTTAGTGAGTCCTTATGATACCTTTATAAGTTAATAATAGAATAATTATCAAATTGACCAGAGAAAAAATAAATAAATACTAAATTGACCCCAAAATTGGAAAAAAAAAAACACACACACACACACACAAAAAAGAACCGGGAGCTCATGTTACGGATATTAACTACACATTGAGTGGTTCGAATGATTGAAACAGGACCCATGGTAGCCCCACGGGCCCAACAGCACCATCCAGGCCACTGTGGACTGGAGACAAGCACAACCCTTATTCAAAATAATACCGCAAGGAGACCCCTTGCTTATCAATAACTCAGAATACCAAATTCCTGCATTGTAAAAATTTTATTTTCTTATGTTTGTTGTTGTTTTGTATTACAAATTGTACTTCCATAATTGACTTGTGTCGGCTTCAATTAAAATGCAGATGTCTTCTATTCTTTCTGATCCCAAACAAAATTGGGGGAAAAACATTATATGCAAAAAAAAAAAATCTTTATGAGAACATTAGCAGCCCATTAATTAATCTTATAATTTCTATCTAAATAATCACAGGTCATAGTCATGACTTGCATTATGTGAATCAACAATTACAAGAAACCCAGATATAATATGAGAAATTACATACATATATATATGTATATTCATATGGAGTTCGAATATAATCAACATACATGTATATATATATATATATATATAGAGAGAGAGAGAGAGAGAGAGAGAGAGAGAGAGATTACCATGTTGAGAGCCCACCCCAAACAAAATTGGGGGAAAAACATTATATGCAAAAAAAAAAAAATCCTTATGAGAACATTAGCAGCCCATTAATTAATCTTATAATTTCTATCTAAATAATCACAGGGCATAGTCATGACTTGCATTATGTGAATCAACAATTACAAGAAACCCAGATATAATATGAGAAATTACATACATATATATATATATATATGTATATTCATATGGAGTTCGAATATAATCAACATACATGTATATATATATATATAGAGAGAGAGAGAGAGAGAGAGAGATTACCATGTTGAGAGCCCACTTCTCTTCGTTGTGAACTTGGGAGTTCCAGAAAGCCTTGATCTTGTCCATTGATATCACTGCGTCCACCATTGAAGCAGAGAGAGAGAGAGAGAGAGATTTGGGTTTAGGGTTTTTTGGTTCGGTGGTTGGACGAGTTTTAGGGTTTTGCGTCTCGGAGAGACGGCAGGTCAATTAAACGGAAGGTGGTTGTATTAAATTACTGAACTAACCTTGTGATGCTTGACAACATCTCTTTGCGAGTAAGGGTATTTTCGTAAATCTAGCTTAATCCAATGGGTGTTGTTTGGACATTGGAACTAGAATTTCCTCCAGTAGTATACGCAAATCCCAATCCTGGGCTGGTAAACACTCAGTCACGAAACCAAACATAACCTAATATTGGGGATGTTTGGGAACCCACTTTTGAGACTAAAATAGTCTCAAATATTAAAAAAGCCAAAAAGTCTCAAAAAATCTAAATCAATGATTTATATCAAAAAATCTAAATCAATGATTTATATTAAAAAAAAGAAAAGAAAAAAAAGCAGCAAAGTCGGCAACAGTAGGCAGCCTATACTGTCATGACAGTGTATAGACACAAAATTGTGACAGTATAGTCTTTGAGACTGAAATGACGATTTTGCCCCTTTAGATTAATTTTGAAAAATGTGAGGTTAGGGACAAAGTTGTCATTTTAACTTCAAATATCATTTCAACACATTTTTCAAGACAACAACTCAAATAAAAATTCATCTCATCTTCCCAAATACAAAAACTAAAATAACCTACTAAAATAGTCACTTTCCAAACACTCATATTGGGGGTGTTTGGGAAGAGAAGGTTGAGGCTATTATAGCCTTAAAATGAAAATAAGCCAAAAAGCTTACTTTTCAACCCTTTCTATTAAAAAAAATAAAAAAAAGGAAAAGCTAGAGGACAAGCAGCAGCCTACACTGTCAGTGTAGGTACTGTGCCACGGACAGCTATGTGTCGGCTGTTAAATTACAATTTTGCCCCTTTAGTTAATTTTGAAAAATAAAAAATTGGGGGTAAATTTGTCATTTTAACTTTAAACATCATTTCAACACATTTTTCAATACAACAACTCAAATAAAAATTCATCTCATCTTCCCAAACACAAAAACTAAAATAGCCTACCAAAATAGCCAAAAAGCCTAAAAAATAGTCACTTCCCAAACGAAGCCATTGTTACCTTTTCTATGTTAGGTTTGAGTAGGGATAGTAATTTGAATCCAGCCCGACGGGGATCCAGTCCTTCAATCCCGATTAGAACGGTTTCCTCCGAAAAATACCCCCAATAGGTCGAGGATGGTATTCGAAAATGTATCCCTGATAATGTTTGGGTTGGAGACAATGATACGTTCCCTAGCCCCGGCCCTGTCCCTGTCCATGTTTCCCTGAACTGAAATTACTATTATACCCCTCTATATATATAAACCAAACCCTAACATAATTTATATAACACAAACCTCAAACACACACACAACCTCACTGTCTCTCTCTCACCTCTCTTTCAGTTTTTTTTTTCTCTCTCTCTCTCTCTAAAACCCTTACATCACTCCTTCCTCCCTCCCTCCGATCTCCTTCATTCTTTCATAAAATGAGGTTGGTTTGCTTCTAATCGCCTCCGCCAAAGCCACCATCGCATACCAACATAGATCCCAAATTGGGTTTCACCAACGCGAAATAATGAGGCCAGTGCTGATCTGAGGAGAAGCACCGATGCCCATCCATGTCGCCGCCGTAGGTGCAGTCTTGCCTTTGCTCGTCGTCGATTGTAACGTCTTCTTTGTGGCTTTCATCTTTGGATCTACGCTGAAATTTGAAAATCTCTTTGTGTAAATACATATAATATTTATAGATCCACACACAATCAATCCAGTTCAAACTTTCTCTTCTATAGATCTATTTTTTTGTTTTTGTTTTTGTTGCTGATATCCCATTATCATTGTTCATTATTTTATTCAATTAAAAGATTTCATTATTTTATTATTGTTTTATTATTTCTTCATCATTGAGTAGGTTGGGTTTGGAGGAGTATTGATTTTTGATAGTATATGGAAAAAGGGGTTGGTTCTATAACTAGTTTGTTTTGTGGTGAGACTGTTCGTCATTGCAGTTGCTTTGTTTGTTCAAGGATTGGCAGGTGATTGATTCTTTGATATCCATTTTTTTTTTTTTTAGGTTGGGAAATTTTCGAGGTCGGAGAAATCTGATCCCTGTTAGGAGGCGGAGGGAGGCGGAAGTGGGGGCGGTGATAGGTTCTCTGTCAGAGATCAGGACTGGGGACGAGAGAATTTTCACTATCGAGGATTGGGGACGAGGAGGGGACTGGGAGTGTGATCCCTGGCCCATTCCTATCCCTATGTCTAAGGAAAAAATGTTTAATTTAGGAAAAATTTTACTTTATCTCTTGTTGTTTGGGTTATATGCGATTTACCCCTAATGTTTGGTAATAGCTACATAATCTTTACGTGGTTGGTAGACTAAAGTGCACTATTAAAATTATGTTCAATTTAACACTAAGGCCTTGTTTGGCAAGTGATTTTTTTAGTCAAAAAGCCAAAAAGTCATTAAAAAAATCAAAAAGCCAACAACTCATATAAAAAAGTCAAAGATTCCATTTTCTCTCTACTTTTTGCACATCTTTTCACAAAAAGCCAAAAAAAATCATCTCAAACATACTAGTTTTTTTTACATCACATTTTAGTCAAAAAGACAAAAAAATACTAAAAAAGTCTGTTCCCAAACGAGGCCTTATGTGAAACATGTAGCAGATATAAGGGGGTTATATACTCATTTTTAAATTTTAAGGGGGTAAATCGTACATGAAATAAAGTGCAGGGTTAAAATTCGCTTTGCTTTCCAAACAAATGACGAAAATATGAAGGTATTTTAGTTTTTTTTTTATTAAATTATTAACGGACCTAACAATGCACTTCAATCCACAAACCATAAAGGGGTTATGTGGTCAATTCTAAATGCTAAGGAGTAAATCGCACATCGCCCAAACCATAGAAGGTAAAGTGATGTTTGCCCTTTAATTTATTATGAATTTCATATTGATAGTATGAAATACTCATTTTGTAAGACTCTTAATACATATATTATTAATAAAAAAGTTAAGTCAATCAATAATTATTATTTTATTATTTTATTATATTTGTTTTTGAAAAAATAAATGTCAAATATATTTTTGAAAATAGATTATTTATCTTTTTGGAGATATATACCATAAAATGAAAATGCTATATTTACCTGATTGATCTAATCTTTTTCGTGAATATTAAATACGAGGAGTCTTATAAAATAAACGATTCAGACTATGAAAACGAGACTGTAGGGCAACACAAATCCCTTATAAACTTGAAAGAAGTACAATGCTATTTCTATGTACTTATAGGTATGTTAATTTGTTTTACAAACAAAATTGATAAATTTGAAATCACTGTTAACCAAGTGGTTGATTTTTATCAGCTAATTACAGGAATTTTTAATATGGGCATGGCTTCTGTCCAGTCTGACCTGTTGGGTTCGTGGGGGTCTACCACGGGTTCCGTTTTGATAATCTGAACCGTTCAATGTGTAGAACTCGTCGAGTACTATAAGCTTATAAAAAATCACGTTGATCGGATATCTGTAGCTATGTGATCAAATCAGTTTTGTATAAAAAAATAGACGATAAATAAATTAACGGTTGACAAAAATCTATTTTGATCACATAGCTATCGATATTCGATCAACGTGATTTTTTACAGGCATATAGTACTCAATGAGTTCTACACATTGAACGGTTCAGATTATCAAAACGGGTGGTGGGCCCCACGGGCCAACAGCACGGTCCAGTCCGATTAAGGACTGGACAGAAGCCACTCCCTTTTAATATACGCTTTTTAAAAAAAGAGAGTATTATATGTATTTTTAATTATATTATTATTTTTAATTATGATTAATTTTTATTTTTAGTTATGACTCATCATCAAATATATATATATATATATATTAAAAGTAGTGTTTTTTTCTTGCTTAGGTGGCACATTCTAAAGGTGAGTCTCACACCCATGTGAGACATTTGGTAAAAATTTTGGTAGAATTTTTGGGGTCGATAGCATTATCTAAATCACTTCTAGAAACAATGGAACTCAATATATTTTTTTGGTTAAGTTTTTTGGAATATAAATTAACAAATGTCAAATGATAAATAGTGTGGAGTATTATTAAAGAATAATAATTCATCAAAAATAATTGCATATATTGTATATAGTGTGGAGTATATTTATATGATTTGAATTTATAATTTTTTATGCATTAATGTGAATTATTCTTTCAATCTTATTGGTATAAACATAAATCCTACTTTCGAATCAACTCACTTTAAGCACTTTTCGTGTAATAAAATACTTAAATATTGTCATAGAAAAATATTATAATAGATCATAATCAAACGTCACTTAAAGCATAATTAAAAATTCAATGCATCACTTTAGATATAACCAAAATATAAGAAATTGGAAAAACTTTTTCGATTAATAACTAAAATAATACATCATGAGTTATAATTAAGTCATAATTTGTATATTATAGAATTTTCTATTATTTTTATTTTTTTCAGAAAAAAATATTTTGATACAAATGAAATTCATGAATTTTGATAAATTTGATTAATACAAATGAGAATTTGATTTTAAGTTGATAGTACACTTTTTTTTTAAAAAAAAAATTGAAACAATTATTTTTATGAGCTTATTTTACATAGTATCACACACAATAACAAAAAATTTCATCAGTCATTAGCAAATCTCTTCGTATTTGGTTTTCAATTATTAAAATTTCCTACTTAAAGTATTAAGACTCAAAATTAATTTTTTATTTTAAAAATAATTTCCCGTGTGAGAGGGAGATTTATAATCTGACTTTGGGCCGTGGAAGAAGCCGGATAGGATGGGGCCGAGCAAGTTTGGGCCTAGCTAACTTGGGCTTACCCGGGGCTGATCTCGCTCGGTCGTGGCCAGGGCCTGAGGACGGTCTCATTTTTTGGACCGAGCTTCCCCAGATTGGAACTTGCTCGGTCGAGGCCCATCCCCGAGGTCCACCTTTGCCGAGACAGGCTCCTGCTACCCGGGTTTTGTGGGAGCACTATTAGCTCAGTTTTT